TTTTTTGTGTATATATATATATGCATACACAATAAATATACACAATATACACAAAAAAGTCCATTTTTTGTATATATATATAAAAATATATACAAAAAAGTGCTGTATATGTGTATATCTATACAGCACTTTTTTGTCATAGAACGCAATGGAACGGCATTCCACCATCTTTTTTTGATATATTTTAAAAGTTTTAAGAAAATTTTTGAAAATGTGATATTTGGTCCACATTGAATTGCTTCGTTGAGCACAGAAGATAGGCAACAAAATTATTAAGATGGTCCTGCTCCTGTTTGTGTGCCGAACCTTGTGTACGATGCATGTAATATATATTTTTAGTAATGAGATGAGCGCTCCACAACCTATTTTTCCCCAAAAAATACACTGTATATATATATATATATATAAATACATTGAATAAGTCTTTCTGCCTGCAGGTACAAATTGTTCATATCCATTATAAGTTCAGCAGAGCAATAGTGGGATTAGATAGACAGTCCCAAGATATCTCAATCAACCAAAGTACCTTATGAAAATTTCTGGAAATGTAATCAAAGGTTCTTAAGAAGCAGACTAATATTTTACTGTCTAAATTATACAACCATATATTTATATAAATTATTTTTGTACATTATGCAAATAATAACAAAGTTATAAAATCCCAATTCTTAATCAACACTATTTTTGCAGAATTATATTGCTACTGAATTTGATTTTAAATTAAATTTCATTGTGGTATTTTGCTAATAATTTGAACTCGAAATCTCTTAACAAAACAAACATTTTATTTGTTAAAATAACATTCTGAATAATTTTGTATTTTTTTCTTTAGATACAATTGAAATATAGATTTTATGCTCTCTCTCTACTATATATTTCATTATTAACTATTTTTAATAGAATTTTGTCACAGAATTAGTTCATGTTAATGATTTCAATTATTTCATTTATTGTGCATTCATGATATTTTGTCAATCTTTGAATTGAAATTTATGAATTTCCCAGTTACTTTCTAATAATCACTTTTTCAAAATTTCATAAAAAATTTTCTACTTTAGAATGCAAGAAATTTCTATTCTTATAATACACAAAACAACTTTTAATATACTGACAACATACAATATAAGCTATTGTATCATTTTATCCTGTTGAGAAACAATTCATTTTAAAAATTTATCTAGTGAAAAAAATTGACTAACATTTTATACCATTACCTCTTATATATTACGAAAAGTTGATTATTAATATTGTAAAAATTTCTCCACAAAATTCATTCAAGTTGTTAATTCTAAAACTGGAACTATCTTCTAAATACTACAGTTCACAGATTAGTAGTATTTAGAAGATAGTTCCAACTTTAAAATATGGCGACACCAGCCAATATTTACAGAAAAAACTTCTTAGTCCTAACCAGAGAGAAGTCAAAATTCTTATTGCAATGCAAATTGAATAAAGTCTTTCCAATGTCAATTTACAGAATTAAATTGTCATTAGGATGTGCTTCACTTCTCCTAAAATTAAGATTTGTTTAGCTTCTTGATAAAAAGCACTGAGTTCAGCGTTAATACGAATTTTTCTTATATCGCAAGTACTTTCAATGAGTATTATATCGTCGTCCTCAGGCGAAAAAGAACAAATTTGAAAATTAAAACGTGCAGAGTGTTCCAAGTAGAAAACGCAAATAAAGCAATACAGCAAAAAAACTACAGTGGATCTTGCACAAGTGGTAAAAGAGGAAAAAAAACCACTGCAGAAAAACAAAGATGCAGATTATCAGTTGGATAATATTAAAGCACCAGAACACCTAGTTCAAGCCTTCAAATATGGCCCCAAGTAGTTCCCAAAGCATATACACATTTTAACAGATATCCTCATTCCAACATTGAAAAATTACCAATAGGAATGAAAGATACTCACAAGGACTTCTTCAGATGGTGGACAATTTTCAATGTAAAACACAATGAAATTGATAACATAGATCAAAGATTGTGGACAAGCATATGCGAAAGTAAACAATGGCTCCAGGAAAAAAACAATAACAATCATTAAAGCTAACAAAAACAGAAAAGTGGTACTAATGAGAAGGTTAGCATGTGTGTTACTGCTAGAAAAATACATGCAATCCATGGAACGTAGGCTTGTAGAAGAGGGATACGTTAACAAGCTCCAAAACAGAGTGGCTACATTTACCCACACACACATATCTAGTTAAATATTTGCATTTAAATCATGCAACAGTTCTGTCACCACAAACACCCACTCTTCACCTTCACCAAAATTCATAAATCTGGCAAATGAATATGCCCTATTGTGGACAAAGCAAGGTCATCCACAATAACCTTAGAGAAGCATACACATGAATTTTTAACAAACACCTCAAATGATATAAACATGCCATTTCCAATCCCAACAAACTCATCACTAAGTTAGAAGAGATCGCATTAACTGATTATGAACATATAATGATTTTAAACTTTCAATCAACATATTCCTCTTGAATTAGAACCATGATTTTGCACTCTGAGACTTCTTTCAGAAAGTACCAACCTCCCTGTTTACCACCAACAGCTCTTAGAATTAGCAACCTAATGTGTAACACATCATTCTTCACCTTTAACAACTAAACTTACCTGCAAAACAGACATTGCAATGGGTAGCCCTCTTTTAGGTGACTTATGTGAAATGGTAATGAGGGCATTAGAAAACAAAAAATTTTAAGAAAAATTGAGTGAAATATTCTATTATACATATGCTAAGTTGATGACATCTCAATCATATGGAGATCTAAACCTAACACATAGTATATATTACAGGAATTCAATAATAATCCCTATGGCCTTACATTAAAGCTAAAGCAAAAAAGTGACAGAGGCCCACTTCCTAGACCTCCATATTCAATTTAAGAACAGCCATGTTTACAAAGGTGTACCATAAACCTAAATCAACACTCTCTTTTTATACCTTCAACATCTAATGATCCCTATATTTATAAGGTAGCTGCATTTAGGAAACTATTAAAAAGGGCATATATGCATTGCTCTAATATCAAAGATACTATGCAAGAGTATATAAAACATATAAAACATAGCAGTAGAACAGTGGTAAACTAATACCTACATTAGTGTCTACCATACAAGAGAACATTAAAAAGAAATAAGCTAGGAATGTAGAAAAGCAACTGCAAACAAAAATTTAAAATTGTAAACACATATTAGTTGACTATGATCCCAGATTGAGTACAACATACAAGATAATAATGAAACAATTAAATACCACTTTAGCCTATAAACACAGCACAACTGTATACAAACTACTCAACAATGGTAAGGATAAGATTGAAGATAGCAAAACTCCTAAAATATATTTTCCATACACTGTATTGACAACAGATTTGATAGAAATCTAACATATATAGGCTCAACAAACAGATCTTTGATGCAAAGACTCAAAGAGCACCAATACAATATTAGTAAAAACAAACACAGTACAGCTATAGCACAATATGCAAGTGATCTAGGGGTATCTCCCAGATGGGCAAAAGAAAAGCTTTTAAAATGCCCATTTGACAACCATAAAAACTAATAAACTAAAAACCATGGAAACATTTGAAATATTTGCCACAACACTTAAAGGAAGCTGCATTAGCAGTAAAGAATCTATATCCATATCCAAGACATGGCAATCTATATTAAATAATCCCTTAAAAAATAGCAACAACCAATTATACATTCAATAATAGAAATTTACATCTTGCTAAATAATTTAATTTTTTATTTTTTCAATTATATTATTAGAGGCCTTTTAATAACTTTTATTTGTAATTATTCATTTAATTTCATAAAACTATATTAATCTTTACATAAATATTAGTATATTTTAATTCAAAGACAATTACATCAAAAGAAAAACAGTGTTATCACAAACTTCAAAACTGCCATAGAAGTTTGATACAGAATCTCCTAAATGCAACGCAAACCACCAAATATAGCTGAAAACATTCGTTTTTAATCAGCAAATGCTGGAAAGCAAAAGGAAGATGTGAATGGTAGTATTTAAATTCATTCAATCCCTAAAAAAAAAAATAATAATAATAATAATAAAGCTAATGACTTATAACAGCTTTTACTATTGATGCAATGTTTTAATGCAATTAAACTAGAGTGCTCCATATTGTTATTACAGTTCATTAAAACACTTGCCAAATTTTTAGTAGTTGAAAAAAGTGTTGAAATCAACAGAACACTCACCAATGAAGATGGATTTGATAAAAGTCCAAGGACATTTATCAGATTGTTTTTAAGCATTCTTCCGACTTCTTAAAATATGATGAGAGTTTTGAACTGTAATAGTAATATTTTAAATTAATATATAATGTTGCAGTGGCATGCAATGACATTTGATGATAGGGAAGCTGTGCCAGCCCCAGATAGAATCATTGTAAATGTTATACGATATTTTGGTGTGTAGCATCCACCAGCTAAACTGCATGAGGTTGGTGCTCTGTAAAGTGCATGCGTGAATGCGTACAATCTGGCTGCTTTACACAATTCAAATATTTTTGCCGTGGAAGCTGTCCCATATTCAACAATACAACACTTCCGTTGGGAGTATATACAAATTTATATTCAAATATACAATAGCAATTTTATTACCCACACACACATATCTAGTTAAATATTTGCATTTAAATCATGCAACAGTTCTGTCACCACAAACACCCACTCTTCACCTTCACCAAAATTCATAAATCTGGCAAATGAATATGCCCTATTGTGGACAAAGCAAGGTCATCCACAATAACCTTAGAGAAGCATACACATGAATTTTTAACAAACACCTCAAATGATATAAACATGCCATTTCCAATCCCAACAAACTCATCACTAAGTTAGAAGAGATCGCATTAACTGATTATGAACATATAATGATTTTAAACTTTCAATCAACATATTCCTCTTGAATTAGAACCATGATTTTGCACTCTGAGACTTCTTTCAGAAAGTACCAACCTCCCTGTTTACCACCAACAGCTCTTAGAATTAGCAACCTAATGTGTAACACATCATTCTTCACCTTTAACAACTAAACTTACCTGCAAAACAGACATTGCAATGGGTAGCCCTCTTTTAGGTGACTTATGTGAAATGGTAATGAGGGCATTAGAAAACAAAAAATTTTAAGAAAAATTGAGTGAAATATTCTATTATACATATGCTAAGTTGATGACATCTCAATCATATGGAGATCTAAACCTAACACATAGTATATATTACAGGAATTCAATAATAATCCCTATGGCCTTACATTAAAGCTAAAGCAAAAAAGTGACAGAGNATTATAATAATAAAGTTGTTTAATTATTCCAATAAAACAGTTTATTAATATTACAAGTCATTATATACAGAAATATATACCTGTAGATGATAAAGACAATACATATTTGTCAATATAACAGTATTTGAGATTCTTTAAATACTCATATATTTGCTGGAGGGGAAAAAATATATTAGCATATCCTTATCGGCTTTAATTCGGTTATTCAAGTTTCTCATCTAAACATTCAGCAAATTGCAATTAAAAAAAATTAATTAAAAGAAATTATTAAACCGCCTTACGTTTATCTATTAATTATAGCGTAGTGTTCGTTCATATTTTATTTTTAAAAACATTATTTTAACTATTACACATCAATCGAATTATCTATCTAGTTCTCACGCACTATATCATCACTATATGTAAAAATTCACTGGTAGAAAAATGTGTTATATTGTACTTGAAGGCGGGAAACAAAACTTACCTCTCGTCTAGCAATAAACGTTATAGTCAATTCGCGTGGATACCGCTTGCATTAATTCCTACGAATATAATCATTCTGTTGCACTAACGTCAAGTCATTTTGACATTAGTATACCAAAATTCAGACATCCCTACCGGGATTCGAACCCGGGACCTTTGGATTAGAAGTCCAACACGCTATCCACTGCGCTACAGGGACATATTGGAAACGGTTGCGCAAGAAATTAATTAAATTTGAAGAGTTACTTTCAATTAGAATGATGATAAAAATTCTGTTTTCTGTCTGTGAAATTCTACATAACAGACTTTTGATGTAACGAAAATAAAATATAAATTGATTATTAAAAAGTTATAAAAAATATGCTTAGATTTGTTTTGCGAGACACTCAATGAGATATACCGGTAAAGGCCCGAACATGAAAGTTTTATGTCTGTCTGTTATTTACACGTTTGAAGACGGTACGAATAAATGCGACCAAACTTTCTAAAAATCAACTTATCATCAAGCAGCGGATCAACAATTTTAACATGTGGGTCGTTCTCAGGAAAATTTTCGGATTGAAATCAGGTAACTTCCGGCTCAGAGAAGAAGTTCGTATATATTTAATCGGGTGCCCCTAAGCTTTCCATAATCATCTATATCTAATTCCATTCTCGAGATTAAATTAAAGAAAGACAGAGAACGACGGTGACAGGTGGAAATTTATAGGCCTACAATTTTTTCAAATCTCAGCCCAATAAATATTCTCCACTAACCCAGTGGATAAAACCACCGAACACCGGTAGTCGGTTGTGGTTTGTGCATAGCCACGTGGAATTTTCAGGATTTTATTCACGTTAATATCACGTCAATAGGGCCAGCTGATTTAAGATAATTTGATTTATGATTTAAGTGTTTAAACAACGATAAGCGGTCGTAGTTTCGAGCACCGCCAACGGGCCGGATACGACAACTTTGCCATTAAGATCATCCCATTATATGAAACACCTAGTTATAATTTTGTAGCCAACCACGGCACGAATACGTTGCCATAAACCTAATGATTAAAGCCATTTATACCAAAGTTAGACACTTAATTCTCGTCACTTTAATTACTCTTGTATGTTTTTACTGGCATTTTTTTATTCCTTATTATTCAATTGAAAGGAACAAGCAGCTCTTTGCTTGCCTTCGTCATTTCCAGACGAACGACAACCCAGAACTCACCACGTGGAGGTGGCTGCTTCAGAGTTCCACCAAGAGTTAGAAAGAATGCTACTCCACAAGTGATTCGAATCACTTATCGAGTTTCATTCTTCCTAATTCAAACAATGAAAGTATTTCCCTGGCGCATCTTCTGTCTTCATCCGGCGAACCTTAAAGATGCGGGACACATAGAGCCTTCTTCGCCTTTCTTCGGCGTCTGATGTCTTCACTTCAGCGGGCCTTAAAGATGCGGGACACGGGGAGCTTTATCCGTTTTTCGTCGACGTCTGCTGTCTTTACCCCAGCGGGTCTTAAAGATGCAGGACACAGAGAGCTTTCCCCGCCTTTGGTCAGCGTCTGCTGTCCTTTCTCGACGGGGTTTCAAAGATGCGAATGCAAAGGGCCCTCTTCAACTAAAGTCGGCCTTTTCGCTCGATCGTATCTTCAAGAAATTGGACACAGAGAGCCTTTTCTGCCTTCCATACGCTCATGAAGTATTCTTAATTTCAAAATTTTTGGAAATCTGAGAAAAAAAAGAAAAAAAAAATGTGAAACTTTCGAACAAATTTACGCTTAACAATAGCTACTTACAATAGAAAAAGCCAACAATACATTCTAACAATTCGTTACGTTTTGTTGGAATATATTTTTAACAAGGCATGACATATTACGATCTGTCGTATTTTTACGTTACGTGTTACGTAAAAAAATTAATGGGTTTGAAATATTTCCGAAATGATTATTTTGTTAAAATAATATTTATTAGAAACAGAATTAATTAAACTTAATTCCGCCTTCAAGTACAATATAACACGTCAACAACACATTAACTTAATAAAAAGATGATTTTTGGAAAGTTTGGTCGCATTTATTCGTACCGTCTTCAAACGTGTAAATAACAGACAGACATAAAACTTTCATGTTCGGGCCTTTACCGGTATATCTCATTGAGTGTCTCGCAAAACAAATCTAAGCATATTTTTTATAACTTTTTAATAATCAATTTATATTTTATTTTCGTTACATCAAAAGTCTGTTATGTAGAATTTCACAGACAGAAAACAGAATTTTTATCATCATTCTAATTGAAAGTAACTCTTCAAATTTAATTAATTTCTTGCGCAACCGTTTCCAATATGTCCCTGTAGCGCAGTGGATAGCGTGTTGGACTTCTAATCCAAAGGTCCCGGGTTCGAATCCCGGTAGGGATGTCTGAATTTTGGTATACTAATGTCAAAATGACTTGACGTTAATGCAACAGAATGATTATATTCGTAGGAATTAATGCAAGCGGTATCCACGCGAATTGACTATAACGTTTATTGCTAGACGAGAGGTAAGTTTTGTTTCCCGCCTTCAAGTACAATATAACACGTCAACAACAAATTTTTCTACCAGTGAATTTTTACATATAGTGATGATATAGTGCGTGAGAACTAGATAGATAATTCGATTGATGTGTAATAGTTAAAATAATGTTTTTAAAAATAAAATATGAACGAACACTACGCTATAATTAATAGATAAACGTAAGGCGGTTTAATAATTTCTTTTAATTAATTTTTTTTAATTGCAATTTGCTGAATGTTTAGATGAGAAACTTGAATAACCGAATTAAAGCCGATAAGGATATGCTAATATATTTTTTCCCCTCCAGCAAATATATGAGTATTTAAAGAATCTCAAATACTGTTATATTGACAAATATGTATTGTCTTTATCATCTACAGGTATATATTTCTGTATATAATGACTTGTAATATTAATAAACTGTTTTATTGGAATAATTAAACAACTTTATTATTATAATATGTTACAATAGTTTTGACATACATAAAAAAATTATATTTAATATAATTATTTAAAAATTGTGGATTTACATTTATTCTAAAAAAGAAATATTAATGTATATATATATATTTTAAATATAATAACACCATTAAATAGTTAGAAGATATCGAGTAAGATCATAAAAATATTAAAGAAATAGACAAGTTACATAATGCATTTGCATGTAGTGTAGTGGTATTTGGTCATTTCTGCGTTCATTATTATGTTCTTTATGTAGATTATGTAGATTTGAAAGCTGTACAAAGAAAGTACAGCTTTCAAATCTAAACTGCATGTTTTGGGGCTCAGTGAATTAAGTACATTTTTATTTACTACGTACAGTACTGTCAAGTACAGTACTGTACATTCCTGGCCCCTCATGTAGCATTACTAAGAGATAAACAATACAAATACGTTACAATATATATTCGTAGAGAAAATTAAATAACATTAAGTTGTAGTAATGGTAAATAAAAAAAAATAAAATTGTTGACGGACATTGATAGCACGATCGCAATTTAACTATTTAATTAACATTTACATAGATAGAGAGTTATTATATAATATATTTACGATTGATATTTAATAATATTTTTCGTGATTAATGTATATTTAATTAATAAATATTTTGGTGATTGAGTACTTATAGATTAAGAAGGTGAACAGAAATAACTGTTTCAGGTCTCAAGAACATAATTCTCAGCCTTAATAGTTAGAAATTGGATTGACGTATGTTTTTGCCGCTTCAAGATGGAATGAAGTTGGGCAACAACACATTCCTTAAG